AATGTTATGGGCTTTGTATTCCACTAAATACAAATCTTTGCTGTGGCATCATTTGGTCCTTCACCCTCACACGTAGCGCGTGTGAGTCCGGGTTGACTTCTGCGCGTAATCTGTTTCCTTGTTAACAAACTTGTGTTCATTTTCTACCCTTAGACAATTATTCACAAACACTGTTGCACAGTGCTCGTAATTATTTTAAAATGATAAATTTGTTGGTAAATTTTTTTATTTTTTGGGCCCTGATACGTAGGTGTCGTTTTGTTTGCGCATGCTCGTTGGTTTTCCCTGCTTGCTATCTGTAGTTCGTCTATGTCCGCCCATCATTGCGACTAACTCGATGTGAAATCTTGCGACAACATAATTTGTTTATGTTAATTAAGGAAACAATCTGCCTTTTAGCTGTCAATATAGCTGACCCACTCGTCATCCTGTGGGTTACACTTGAGCCTCCCAGACATGTTGATAGATTATCAAAGGCGAAATTGGTCCTTGAACAATATTTCAAGGAGTATGTGTGTTAAAGGAAAACAATCTAACTACGGCGTATTGTATTTCTCACGGACTAGCTTGGCATTGTTGAGGAGGGATGAAATTTATATGGATCTCGAAGGTGTTGAACTCCTTACTGTTCTCCACATTATGAGCATGGTGAGAGAAATTGATTCTGTTCTTCTCATTTTATTCCTCTCTCAGACCTAAGTGGGATTATTAATTTAGTTAAATCGGGTCTTTTATGATTTCCTTCGTGCTCTAACCCCCTTAGATTTGCGCTGCGGCAGTAAGGGCCACCAACTAACTTTGAAAGGCAAGTCTGCCATTGGGTAGCGTCACTAGTCTAGACAACCTTCTGCTCTTACTGGTTTACTTCGTTTTGACAGCTCAGCAGGTACAGTCGGCGGGGCGAAGGTGGAGAGTGGAGTTCGAGATGGTGTCGAAAGGCGGTAGCGATGGATTGCAGCGGCTGCGTATGAAAGGCGATGCCGTAGTGGACCTCATCCCGAGGACTGCGCCACCGTCGCTTGCACCGTATACGGTCGTCCTTGGCATGATTGACCTCGTCCTCGTCTAGCACTGGCACTGCAGGTCAGGTTCCCATATTTCCTCTTCTTCCTTCCCCCCCCCCCCCCAGAAGTCGATGTGGGCTTTATTTCCTAGGTTTGTAATATTCGTGCATTCGGTTATTTAGTTTATTCAGCTATAACAAAAAAATGAGTGCAATTAACTAACTATATGTCTCCAATCTTCTCAGTTATTTTCAAAATGGAAATTTGAAGGACCTCAGCATCGAGACGGATGCTTATCACTGGAAGGAATACCCGTCCAATCCTGCACGCGCATGGTGATACTTGTTATTATAACTGTTAGATTGCAGGTGGTGCACTCAGACAAGAAGCCGTGTCAACGCCGAGTTTTGCGTGCCTGGGGCCGCTTAGGCACGGATATTGGCGGCTTGAGGGCAGAGCACTTCGTCAGTGTGGACGCCGCCGTGCAGCACCTGCACAGCCTCCTCACAGATTAGCTTAGCACTGTCAACAAA